GAACAGGAAATGCTGAAAAAGAAGTGGAAAACAACATCATCAAAACAGAATTCAAAACAGACTTCTTGGCGCTGGTGGGAGGACGCATGAAGGCTGGGCCTCCTCCCAACAGGTAAGAGAGATGGTGCAGACGAAGCCTGGGTGCTCTGTGTTCATCATGGGGAGCTGGGATCCACCTGGGCCATATCTGAATCTCCTCAAGCCTGAAACAGAAGCAGCTTTAAAACTTTACAGGAAGCTGCTGTGGGCACTCATTAACTGTGATAACAGCGAGGAAAACTGCTCCTTCCAATGTCTTTGAGCCTAAAAAGATGCATCTGCTTTGTACCAGGAAGCTGGGTGGGACCATTGATGTGATCGGTGGCCAGGCAGGCACGATTAGGAGAGTAGAAGGACGACGACGTGACAAGCACGCCTCCGAGGAAAACCCAATTCAGGTAACTGTTTTCTGCTGTCTTGATACATTCCTGATTTTATTGCACTCCTGAGCAAAGCTCTACATGTTCCTGACCTCCCATGACACTGTTTCTGTCTGCTAAACAATAGGCAGGTCACCAATGCTGGCAAAGCATATGCACGTATCCTTGTGTTTCTTTTTACTTTGAGGTAACATTTAGTCTAAGCATCGTTAGATGCAGTCCACACTTCAGACAGGGTGAGCCTGTGTTTCTGGATCTTGTGCCTTACAAGAAATAGAAGTCCAAGGTCTAAAACTGAACTCGCCACTTTCTTCCAAGCACTCCTAACTCGAACAAAAATAACAAACCCTCAAATACAGAACCTTTTCCCTATCTAGACACAATTCCTGGTTTAGTTTTCACATGTGTTTTTGTGGTGTGTTTATTTCTTTAGTGGTCAGTTTTCAAAATTTTGCTAACAATGCCCAAAAAAAGGTTTGCCTATGTGAAAGAATTTGCTGGGAAATAGTTAAACAGTTGCTGTTCCTCCCACTTACGTTTCCAGGTCATTCTGGTGTCTGCATATCGATCATTCCTTCAGCAGTAGTGAGTATGTGACCTGCCTTTGTCAGGCAGGTGTGGATCCAGTCTTCCTTTGACCTATGTGGGTATGATCTAGAGCAGAATTTGGCCTCTTGCTGCCCGCAGGAAAGATAAATTGGGTTTAAAAAAAAAAAAGCACTGCTGTGTCACCCTCAAATAGGACAGCTGCCTGTTTTGGTGATGTGCTCCTTTTATGCCAGCACAGTGAGGTCCTCACTGCAGAAGCAAAGAGATTAAAATGCTCTCTTCTCATTCCTCTGCCTCCTAAGGTGCTTGGAGACCATGGAAGTAAACCACAGCCACCCCAGCAACCCCAGCAGCCGTCCCAGCCCCAGCAGCCACCCCAGCAGCAGCCGTTCGCACCACCAGCAGGCCCACCACCGCCCCCGCTCGCTGGGCCACCTCCACCGCACTTCCTCCACCCTCCTCCTCCAGTGACATCTGTCCCACCTCCGCTTCATCCTCCAGGTGTGTGCTTGTACAGCAGCACGGGGCAGTCGGAGACTGCAAGTTAGGACAGGAGTAAATCAAAGGTTTCGTTGTTAAATGCTACGTAAGAGTCGAGCAGACAGTTAACAGGTCCTTGGACCTGGCCAGTCTGTTCAGTGCCTCCATCAGCCTATTTAACATTTGCCTTTGAATACTTAAAAAATGGCAGCTGTTCCTTGAAAAAAGCCTAGGCTTTGTTTCAGTGGGAAAGCCTTTGGGCTTTGAAACTTTTTGAACTTTAAGGAAGTTTTAAAAACCCAACCAACAACACACAAGCAAAAGGACACGCTGGTGTCTGCAGGTTCTCCTCTCCAGCTCCTTCAGTTGTTCTGCAGGCCAAATCAATTTCTGTGTTGACACTTGGAAAGAGGAATTCTCCAGTGTGAGAGAGCAGCAGCATTTGAAATGATAATATAAAAGTACAGATGATAGCATTTGTAGGCCAGTTACTGCTTAATGACACCAATTTTTCTGCTGATCTGTTTGCTCAAATATGTGAAATTCATTCAAAAGTGTGCTTTTAGGTTTAGCTTCAGGTACAGAGATGCTGTGCTTTACCAGTTATCCTCACTTGTTTTACTTGCCTGTTTATTTCCATAGGTCTGCCACCACCAGGTCCTATTCCAGGTAGGTGTGAACTTGCTCTTACAGCTGTGATTCTGAACACACGGGTGGCCCTCTCTGAACATTTGGGTTAAGTAACACGAGATGGGATGACACCAAGACCCATTTTAGAGCACAGTTAATTTAAGGCTAATAAACTCCAGTGGAGCATTGAGCTCCAGCTGCTTACCTTATCATCTTAATGCTCTCTTGTTCTGTCTCTGAAGACCGATCTCGAAAGTGAAATGGTGAATTTCAGATGGCAAAAGCCACTTAGTTAGATTTTATATGGTTTAGTTCTGGCATTTGCACAGCAAAAGTCTGAGTGACAAACTCCTGCTTTATGTAGGAATTTGGAGCGTGAGACTGAGCATAACAAATGTGATTTCCTTCAGAAGCCTTTGCTCCCTGATGTGCAGTGCAGATGGTGAATACTAATAACAAACTGTAACAGCCAATCTTGTGCATAAGTTAAGAACCCCGCTAATTCAGAGCTACTGTAAAACTGAGTTTCCTTTGGCTGTAATTTTTTTTTTTCTACTGGAAATGTTGCCTGGCCCAGGGAAAACAAACGCAGCTGTTTGTGTAGCAGGGCATCTGGAGCAATAGGTCTGAAAATCCAGGGCTGATGGTGACCGCGCACATGGGGCCAGGCCACTGCCTCTGTGCTCTACTGAATACTTCACTATAAAGGTCTGCACCCAGAGCACTCGCTTTGACCTCGTTGTGGCATTGGACTTGTCAGCTTTTGTGTCTGTGCTTTTGTATTCGTGCTCTGCCATGGACTTCCACATTGGAAACATGGAAAACCTACACAAGCTGGGCTGTCCCTCAGACTGAGAAAATGCCCGTGCTTGTTAAAATGTTGCTTTTCACACTCCTCTCAATATACAATAATATTGCAGAGCTGGTTTTCATTGTACTAGAAGGATCTTGCTCACAGTAAGTTGGGATTTGGAAGAACCTTCATGCAGCGAAACTGGATGCAAACCGGTCTTGGTTGCAGACACTGCAGCACCCAGTAGCTGGTCGAGTGCATTTAAATTAAAGTTGTTTGGGAGGAGTGAGGTGGAAAAAATGACCAGGCTGTGGCAGAGAACTTCCACTGCAGGTAGCTGGGTTGGAAAGGAAGATGAGGGAGAATACCTGCTAGTTATGATGATGATGATGATTCACCATTAGAGTTTGGTGCTTCTAACAGTAGTACTTTGTGGGACTTGCGCTTGGTGAGCAAGTGTGATTGAAATGCTGTAGGCGTTGCATTTTATTGGATGATTTTGGGAAAAGGAGGGGGTGGGGGGGAAGCATTGGAGAGGGAGAGGTGTCCCCGAAGCCATTTGCAGCTGAGCTGGAGACTTCAGGCTTTCTCCTTTTGCAATGACATGCTTTTAGGGAGGGGTTCTCCTGACCCATTTTAGGTGCTTACTGTAGCAGGTGATGAGTTGTCCCAGGGTTTCATTGACTCTAAAAGGAACCTGGAGCTGCCAGCTTCAATGTAAATGACTGCAGCCAGTGAGATGTCTCCTGTCCTTTGTGTCAGTACAGTTTGCTCCTTTTTTCATTTAATAATAAATAGGAATTTTCGTGCAAAGTCAAGCCAGTGTGTGGCTGCAGTTGTAGCGTGTCTGCATCTCAAGAACCAGACTTTTCTGTGTTCCACAGGACTGCAAGAGTTAATGTTCACTCCTTAATGAATCTTTGTTTATGGTGAATAAGCCAAAATAGAAGGTAGTTCTTCCTTTGTTTTTCTTTCCATACCCCTACAGAACTAACACAGCTGTAGGGTTTTAATTTTGGTAGGAGATACTGCCTTGAAAGAAAATGACTCCATTTCAAACAGGCCCTTGTTTAGAGTAAAAAGATGCTTAAACTGCTTTTAACTGTAAACAGCAACGAAGTGGTGTTTCCCTCATGGCTAGCTGTGAGATCTTTGTGATGATTTGTGCTTCTCTCTCTAGGGTTGTTCCCGCCTCCGCTGGCACCACCACCAGCTCTCCTCATCCCAACCTTGGACGGGTAAGGCCACACCTGGGCTGAGCCGTGGGTGCAGCTCCTCCGCAGCGAGGAGGGGGAAGGACAGGTCCAAAATGAGCACCAGTAATTCTTAGCCTTGGATTGGGGTGGGGGTGAGAGCAGAGCCCGTAGGGAATCCTCTCTGCATTCACCTGCATTTGTCGTGTTCCCAGCGCAGGAAGGAGTCGGTAAAATCTGGGCACGTGCTTAGGTCTAGTGCAGCACAGTCGATAGCGCGTTATGTGTTTCTGATAGTTTGCAGTGCAAAGTGAAAGAGAGACACTGAAACCATGGGGATGTTCCACGGGGCTTCAGAACAAACGGGTAAATTTGCAGCGCAGATGTACCTGGAAGAGCTCCCTGCTGTTAGTAACTCACCTCCTTTTCTCTTCTCCAAAGCCAGCCAGCCAGCTACAATAACAGGCAGCCGCCTCCGTTTGGCTACAACTCTGCAGGTGAGCACTGAAGATCACACAGTCACACTGCTTTTTTCGCTCTTCTCTGGGATTTGGTAGTTTAGGCTTTTCTTACTGCCAGACTTCATGCTTGCTTTAACTTCAGGGTTTTCTTTGTGCCCCATCGTCCCAGTCACCAGACACACACCGAGTTTGACTGCACCATGAGGTGTTTGGAAAGCTGAATATTTTGCAGCAAAGATGAACGCGATTTTGCAGTTGAGCGCTCAGCTCAGTGTTTTCAGTGCAGATACTCAGCAACAGAGGAGCTTCCCCGAGTGCCTCGGCAACCTGTTCTTGTGCTTGTTTGCATACGTACTGTCCACACTCACCCCCACCCTCGGGGACAAGCAGAGCCATCAGTCTCATCTCCCTGAGCTGCTGAATGCCCTCCTCCCCCACTTTATCATCTTTCTCGCCTACGGGCACGTGCAGGCATCCTTTGGTTTTGCAATGGAAGAGGCAGTGCCAGAATTTCGGCAGATTTCCTTCCCTGTTGCAGCCCTGCCAGCAGTGCCCATTTCCTTCGTGACCAGCACTCGCGGTGACACCTCCTCGCTGTGCTGAGCAGAGTCACGGGCAGTATCACGCTGACTCCTCCACAGGAGGTGGTTGGAGAAGCATCTGTGGAGCTGTACCTGCAGAGGGTGTTTTTGGAAAGGGTGGGACAGAGAGGACACTGTTAATGCTCCAGATGAACAAGGATTGTGCCCTCTCGCTGCAGATTCAGGTTTCATCAGCTACCCCCCCATCTCCACGTCCCACACACCCTGGGTGACGACGGTGGACAAGGGCACAAGCAGTTCCAGCAGCAGCCATTGGGAGTACTCGGGCTCCAGGCGCGAGAGGGAGCGGGAGCGAGAGCGGGAGCGAGAGCGGGAGAGAGACCGCGACCGCACTCCCACCACCAGTGAATACAACAAGTGAGTGCTGCATTTTAGCACAGCTGCCCAGTGGGGAGCTCTGGCTTTGCCCTGGAGGTGCTTGGTCAAAGGATGGGGTTGTGGATTATACCAGTTGAATTTTCTGAAATGGAAAAGATAATTTAGATCAGTAACTGGAGGACATACAAGGAGCTAATGTCACTGGCTGATTTCCTGTGGCTGGTTTTTGTGTTCAAATCCAGCAGAACCAGTTACGCTTGCTCTCCCACCTGTAATGTGAGGCCGGTAAATGAAACGGCCCCTCTGTTTGCTTGCTGTTTCACAGCTCAGCGTGAAACATTGGCCAGAGATGCTGCAGCTTCTCAATGCAGCTGACAGATCAAAGGCAAAACCACCTCAGCTCTCCCATGGAGGCTTTCAGGGCAAGCAGAGCCATTCCCCAGGAGTCCGCCCTGAATTGTAAATCCAGAACCAGGCATTTCTGCAAGCAGTGCTGCAGACAACCACCTTGGTGGGATCTGCTGTGATCTCAGGTGATGGCAGTACTGGGAGCACTTGGGCAAGGAGGCTTTCAGCTTCTCAGTGTGTAGCTCCAGAGAGCTGAAGTGATGGCTGGGTGGTGAAGATGCTTTCTGAACCCATCACTTCTTTGTTCTGTCGGTAGAGTTTTGCAGGTTTCGGGCTCAGAAATACTGGTAGTTATTCAAAACACGATCAGAATGCGCATTCCTGGCAGAGTGGGGCTGCCTGCTGGGGAACTTCCTGGTCCAGGGTTGAGCAAATAGGGCAGTTTTCCTCACCTTGTTAACCCTTTAGATTTTGGCTTTCAGAAGTTGAATTGAGATGTAGAGGGAAGGAGAGCATGGGATGTGTCTGAATTTGGGGTACATTGTGCCCAGCCCTGTATGTGGATTAGGTGCCTTGAGCAGATGGGTAAGTGTAAGCAGGAAGACCACCAGCTGTGCTCACAGTTTGAGTTTTCAAACTCGTGGAGAAGAAAATAGTCCCTTAGTCTAACTCAGACAAAAGAACTATGGTTATCTGGGACAGTAGTGTTGTGAGGTGAAGTCCAGCAGCAGGGGAGGCAGGATGACCAGAGGAGCAGGCTTCTGCTGGCTTTGAACATGGCAGTTGGATGTCTTGGACCTATTCCAGAAGGGTTGTGAGGTCAAAAGCCCTGAGGCGTTGGCTACACGCCTGCTGCTAAGACAAAACCAGAGAATAAATTTTGTAAACCCTTTGCCTTGAGAGGCCAGGAGAAAGCTGCAATGTTCGACTGCTTGGGCCTGTGGGCTGGGTAAGAGGCAAATGGAGAAAGTTGTTCCACTGTGGTTAGAAACTGGAATTGGGCTACAGCTTGGGTGCAAGCAGCAGCAGCAGCGGGGTGTTGTTGCAGGGTTTCTCAGGAGCACCGTGAACACCTCAGCCTGCTGATAGAGTAAGAGGTGACAGATTTAGTTGGTGCTGATGGGGTTCTACAGTTCTGTACACAAGGCTCCTGACTTTCAGGTCCACAGGTGCTGTGTTCCTCTGCCTCACTTCTCCTTTCCCTTCTTAAAGCGATGATGAACGATACCGCTACTACAGCCGAGAGCGCAGCTACGACTTCGAGCGCGACTACCGCCGGAGTCGAGATCGCAGCCGGGAGCGAGACGATCGCCACCGAGAGCGCAGGCACAGGGACAAGGAGGAGAGCAGCAAGCATAAGTCTTCGAGACGGTAAGAGCTGCCTGGGGTTGATTGGGGCTGTTGGGAACACACCTCAGCCGCAGACAAGGCTTGATGTTCTCGGAGTGAGCTGTCGCCCTGGGCTGTACCAGCATCCCGTGACCTGCCGATGTCCTGAGATGTGACACCCAGGTGGAGAATGTACTCTGGGGCATGACCCTGGGCAGGAGGCAGAGCTGTCTGACAGGGAGAGGAGTCCTTGATGTTTGTATGTTCTTGGTAAGGCAGCTGAGGGGATGTCGAATCACTGCCAACAAAATTGCAGCACTGAGTGGCACCAGCAAGGTTAACCTGTGCTGAACATCACGTCAGAACAGCATAGCCCCTGCTGCGGAGAAAGTACACGCAGAGTAAAATGCAAAACTGTGCCAGAAGCATTAGCTTTCAGTATTAACATGGTGGTGTGCAGAAGAGGAGAGCTCTCTTCAGCTGTCATCTGAAATTTCCTCTTGGAAAGTGGCTCTGTCAGTTTATGTCCTGGCAATGACTTGAGCAGACTTGCTTGGTTTTTGGTGCTTCTACTTAATACCTTCTCTTAGGTGAGAAAAGCTCTGTAGGCAATCACCCTTATTTTGAAATTTAAGGGTTTAAGGGTTATTTCTCAGCGTCCTCTCCTCAGAATTGAGATGTGGCATTACATACCTGTCCGCATGGGTGGCATTCACCAAAGCAGCATCAGAATCTGCTGCAGAGCTGCGTTTACAGACCTGGGCCACTGCAGGAGGTGGGAACGAGGTGGTTTTTCCTCTGCTTCTTACACCACATGCACTTGCTCTGTCTTGCTCAAGGTGGGAAGTGTTTGTTAGCTAAAGCCAATGGAGGAATACTTCTATTTAAGGCCATTTCAAGTGCGTATCGGAGTCCCAGCTTGAGGCACTTTGAGATTTGAGCCTGTTTAAGGCATTTGCAGGAAGATGAAAGGGTTTCATTGTAGCTTCCAGTTCACTGCAAATTGTCTAGTCTGAAGGAGATCACTGACACTCGTTTAAATATTAGAGGACAGTCGCGTTGTTGGAGCATAAACCACTGCCATGTCCCTGTCCACAGGGTGGCTGAAGGTGTGGAGAGGAGGGGTAGCAGCCTCCTTTTTTTCATTTTAATGACTATGAAACCATTTATTAAGTCAAAAATTATTCGAAGCCAGGAGCTTTACAGCCAGGGCTCAGTGGTTCAGCCAGTTGGGTGTCTCTGCTGCCAAACTGGTCTCCCAGCCGTGCTAAGAATTCGTCTCTATACTTGAGCTGTGTATCTTCCATACATCTTCCTGTAATAAATGTAATCTGCTTTTTCCTGTGCTCTGTTTTAATTCTGCCACCTTCACACCATGGTCAGCTCTAGAAACCACTTGGTTTTAGAACAGAGAGGAGAAACACTTGCATGTTTGAGAAGCAGCAGGAAGTCTCCCAGGATGGGCCATGAACCAGAGTGGTTTCTGTAGCTACACTGAGCCCTTTCTTGCCTCTACTCTGGGTATTTCCCAGGATGTTCAGAAAATTGCAGACACCTCTCAGATTTAGACTCAGCAGCTTCAGTGCTTCACACTGAAGCTTGAGATATGACAAAATTGTTAGAGCTCCCTTAGGAATGAGAAGGAACATGAAAACCATCCAAAAGTTATTCCGACAGCGCTTGCCTGCTCTGCTGCTTGCCTGGGCCATGTGCTGATGCAGTGCGTGCTGTAAAGCACCACCTCCAGCATTTTGCATCACCTGCCCTGGGTTCAGCCACCTGCTGTATCAGATCGTCCCAAATAAACAGCCTTTCAGCAGCACCTTGGTGCCCTCAGCGTTTCTGATCAGTCTCCTGTTTATTCCAGATCTAAGTGCCACGTCCCCACGCACGCCGTGGTCGATGAATTTGGGTCTGCTGTGGTGGTGACGCAGCTCTGATGTGATTTTTCTTCTCTCCTTTCTTTCCTGCCGCAGCAAACAACACGAGAGTGAGGAGGGGGAGAGCCACCGGCGCCACAAGCACAAAAAGAACAAGCGCAGCAAAGAGGAGAAGGAGGCCAGCGAGGACGGCGCGCAGGAGGGAGAGGAGCAGGATGCCAAGGAGTAACCTGACAGCCCTCGGCAGGAACGTCCTCCTGTTGAACCAGCGTGGCATTGGTGATGTGATGGTTTGGGGGTTTGAGTTCCCTTTTTTTTATTATTCTTTTTTCCCAAGGGAAGAGCTGACTCTGGGCGAGCAGTGACGCAGCTGCGGTGGTGTGAGAGCGGAGGCTGCACGTGCAGCTAAACTTTTTTGTTTTCTTTTTTGATACAAGACGAAATACAGCAGTCCAAGTGTACAAAGCACTGAGCTACTCATAAACATCCCTAGGGAGAACTTTGTTGTATCAGATCCTATGGTTTCTGATGGAAGATGGCTTCAGCTGAAACTAGTGCATTTAGGTCATAGTTTTTGGTTTTTTGGTCATCATCATTCCTTTTTGAAAAATAGGACAGTAAACGCAACTTGAAATTTATTGTCCAAAGAAAAGCGTGCTGTAGAGCCTGATAGCCAGCTTAGGGTCTGGCTTCTCGTAGGGAAAAGTCTCATCCCCAGATGAATTAATTTCTAGCTACAGAAATACCTTCAGACCTCTGTGGCCAGCCGGGCAGCATGCGAGGAGGAACTGCATCTGCTGGGGGGTCACGAGGTCCTGCTTGGGTCTGGCGGCTCTGAGGATCCGTCATGTGTTTACACAGGGTGTGCAAAGACTTCAAACCAAGCTTTTTTTATCCATTTGAAAAATAGTTCTGTCGTATGTTAAACCCATATGTGGGAAATCAATGGAAGGCCCATAGTAAGAGCATGAGTTTCTCTTTAATTAGTTTTGACTAACTTTTTTTTCTTTTAACTAAGCGTTGAGCTGAATACTCTAGCACAGTAGTGACCATGAAGCTCCATCTAGCAGTTTGCCCTCACCAACACTCCTGTGCGATGCATTCCTTCTCCCTAGATCTCCAAATAAATTCAGTCATATTCCAAAGTTTGTTTGGACTTGGTATTGGTTGGGGAGGGGGGCAACAGAGATGTTTCTGGGTGGAAAGAACAGGGGAAATGATTTTGTGTTTGGTATGTCTGGTACTTAGGATGCTGCACTTCTGTTTTTTGTGAGTCCACGAGTGTCTCATTTTCAAGAATCTTCCACTGCTTTGTTATTTAAAACTGTCATAAATCTTTGCCCTAAAATAATACAGTTCTGAAATGTTACATATTCTTTTGTAGCTTAATCTTGCAACTCCTGAGTGTCACGTGAAACTTTACAGCCGTAGAGACTTGAGGCAGTACAGCAGGATGGTAACAGTTTATATGCTGTGACAGCACATTTGATGCGTCATTAACTGCAAAACCTGTGAGGAGAAGAAAGAAGTGGGGGTTTTGTTTGGTTTTACGGTTTTAATGTAGCTTTGTGATCATGGAAGTGCGTGCACAAAGGGAAGGTGTGCGTTGAACCAGAGCTAAAAGGCAGGGCCTGGAATCGGGCTTCAAAGCGTCCTCCCTGTGCAGCCATGTGAGTTCTGGTCCAACACCTGGTGAGAAGGGTTCAAGACTGCAGTGCAAGGCCAGATGTGCGTGGCCTCTGCTGTCAGAGCACATGGGAGCATCAAGTGGGAGAGGGCTGAGCATCCTTGCCTGTGCCTCCATGAAGAGCCTCAGTTGGTTATTTTTGCTTCCAGAACATGAACTCTGACATTGCTAGAAGACCTAGCACCAAAGTGTGCCCCAAAGTGGGCCAGGCAGTGTGCCCCAGACAAGTCTGAGCTGGGTTTTTTGCCTGTCTTGAATCAGGACAATGCTGGCAAGAGTTTTATGCTAAGGTAAGTCAGGGTTTAGTCCCCAGGCAGTATTCTTCTGTTTTTGCACGCTAAGGTGTATGTGGTGCCTCTCCATGGATTGACAGCTCTGCTGCATCTGCTCCCATGGTGTCCTTCTGCTCGGTTTGTGGAGGTGACAGAAGTTACTGAACTGTTAACTGGAATAAGTAATGGTGATCAAACTTTGTCTGTGTCCCTCTGCACGTCAGCTCACTGATGGTGCTGTGGGAGAGGGGACAGGGAATCTTGTGTTGATAAATGTTTTGAGGTTTTTTCAGTGTTTTTACAGATGGGCCTAAGTCGTTCACTGATGTTAGCAGAAGCAACTGTAAATTTAAGGGACCTAGTCTGAAATGGTTTTATTTCAATGAAATAAATAGAGGTGAAATGTTTGCCTGGAGTGTACTAGAGAAGTGTGAAGGTGGGGCTTTGGAAATGATCTTGACTTGCGTAGGTAACTCCTGCAGGTTTTATGGTTGGTGTTCCCTGGGGATACTGAATGGAGACTCAATTCTCAGAAATTTTTGGGCTGGTGGCATCTCCATCTGTGCTGGACTGAACCTGGAGATGAGAAGGGGACCTGTGTATTGCTGAGTGCAGAAGGCCCCAAGGCCAAGTAACACTGAGAGGGTGAAAATCACAGCCAGAGATGAGCTCTTGCACAAAGAGCTAACCCAGCCCCCAGCCTGGACTTGCAGTTCCAGTAGCGTGGAGTTAGAGTTGCTGAGCTGTGCAGCATGCTGCATCAGGGAGCTAAGCCTTGTTAAATAAAGCTGTATTTATTCCCTGGGTTAGCATTTCGGTCCAGTCAATTCTGAGCCCCTCAGGCACAAGCGAGCTGCAGACAGGAGTAGGGGCACAACTGAGGGGAAGAAGATGTGGGATTTACTTCTGTTCAGGTTTTTTTCCCAGTCACAGCATATTTAAGGGTAATCCAGCTCCTTCCCTGGGAGAAGCAGAAGCCAATTGTGCTATTTCCTGCCTGACAGGGTCTGTTTCTCGGAGGAGCGTGTGTTGTTGAGGTGACCTGTTCTCAGGGTGTTCACTCATACATTGGAAAAAGGTTTAAAAACCACTTATAATACATGTTGTTCAGTAATATCGCAATAATTTATAAAGGCATCAAAACAAGTTCAACATCTATTAACAGGCCAATCTTGGAAACAATACTTAAATTACCAGGACATTTTGGTGAAGCTGAAGGCACCTTGAAACAACATGGAGTAATATAAAAAAAATCACACTGCTTGTGCAGCATCCTCTTCACGTCAACTGTCTGACCATCAGCTGCATGGCTTTTCCTTAATGTACTTTATACAAGTGACATTTTATGCTACTCAGTAGGAATCACCCTCTCTCCATCTACATAAATACTCACTGTTCCACGCCAGGCACAGATTCTGCACATTGATTGGAAAGGGACAAAAAACGGCTTCAGGATTTTCTGTTCCTTTGTGTCAGACAGAGGTCGTGACAGTTTTCCACAGGCACCTTTCTGACTTCCGAATGATTTTGCTCTCAGCGTTCAGTAAAAACGGGGGAAAAAAGGCCTCGGAGCCCAGCTGGCCACGCAGTGCTGCTGCTCTCAGAGTCCCCAGTGGTATTTATTTATCAACCAAACAAAGAGGCCATGCCAGGGAATCTTTTGTGCTGGTCGCATCTGAAGCTATTTCTGTGTAGTGGGCTCCGATAACAAGTCCTGCTATGCACTCCCTTGAGGAAGTGAGGTCACTCTGTACAAAAACAACTGCGTCATCACGCGAGGAACAATTCTACTCTGCAGCCACGGCTAATTACGAAGTGGCCAGCCCTAAGAAAAGCACTGACAATACTGGGCACGCACTTGCCATCAGTTTACTGCAACAAGGAATTAAACATTCATTTTAGGTAGCATCTTTACAGGGGAGAGAAACTCCTGTGATTTTTAGAATCTGAGCCAGCCTCAGAAACGGTGTAAGAGGAAAGATCTCTCAGCGCAACCTGGTTTCAGAAAGATCTGTCATTTCTACTGCTGATTAACAGCCTCTTAAGAAAAGGAGTTTGACGCAGGAACTTAGCGAGGCGTCACAGGGCAAATTGCCTGAGCTTCAATTCTTCTATTCAAAATTTTACCTACGGGGTGGACTTGAGCTGAAGCCGACCTGGGCCCGCTGTCCTTCTGGCGGTAGCTTAGTTCATACGGTTGGTACCGTACGAGGCAGCCAACAACCCTTAGAGCTTACCCTGCTCCAGCAAACTGATAGGAGGGGCATGAACAGCACCCCCAAACGTGCCAGATCTTTGGTTGGCGACTGACAGCATGCACAGCTTTGTATTATGGTAACTTTGATTTGTGTCTTGCTAACTTTGAACCCTTGTGTGGTAAGAGTGAACCTTGCCATCAAACTTTGTTGAAGCTACACTTTTACAACATCATATTTTTATGAAACCACTTTTGCTAATACCTTTGGTTCTTTAAGCAGTCTAAATCTCCTATTTGTGACAAATCTGTGTAGGGGACAGGGATCTTAAATCAGGATTCACAACAGCTATCTGGGCGATAGGACCTTCCTACAGACCATGCCAACCTAGCAGCTCAGCAGCAGTGAGAGTTACAGCTGGTTTTTTAAGGCATCAACACATTCATTTCAGAACCTAAAAATATGAAGACTAGGGGCTATAGGAACTGCTTAATTGAGTCCCTATCCTTACAGTTTTATTAGTGGCTTTTAAAAGCATGTATAAAATGACTCAATGTCCAAGAACAGCAGTCGGATCAGCAGCAGAACTGTACTAAACTAGCAGGGGAATCGGACAACAACGGTTCAGATTAACCAGTACTTGGAATCCAGCAACCAGGTTTGCTGATGAGCTCAGAACAGTAAAGAAATGTTTTCTCCAAACAGGAAGCTGGAAGTCTCCCATGGCAGTACATGGTGTAGCAGTTCAGCATTCCCTTGATTTCTCTCTCTCACGTTCAGCTTTGTGTGGTGGCCAAGGGATATCTGATACCTGAAACTGTTGTGTGCTTGGTTTGAGCTCTCAGACAAGGCTTCCTGGCCAGGACACCACAGTCAGTGTCACTTTGTTCCTTTGCTCCTTCAGCATTGGGATGAGTTCCGAGTTGCTCATTCCTATCGCTGGCACTCCATTCACTGCCACTATTTCATCTCCACACCTAATCAGAAAACAGGAAACATGCTCGTCAGTACTTGGTTGTAACACAGCACCCTAGGACCCCCAAAGCCATCAAGCCCACCCTGAGCCAAGATCAGCAACTCCTTGATGAAGCAACCGTTTCACTTCTGAGTCAGAGAGGGCAAGGGGAAAGGGAGGACGTTGCTGGTACTTGAGTAACACAGCACTGAAGGGCACCAGCAGCGTGACCAGCTGGCCAGGGAGCAGAGGGAAAAGTTCTAGAAAACAAATTTGTGCAAACCTCTCAAAGTAGAGGTTTTAGAGTCCTGCTTGATCTGCCCACCTCTATGATACACCAAGCTGTCTCCTTTGACGATGGGAGGTGCTGAAGCCAGCCAGCACCTTCCTCAGGTCTCATGTGGGAAGCACACTGCTGTCCTAGTGCTCCAACAGGAATCCAGCTGCCCCCAGCCCTCCCAGCAAGGCTCTGACCCAGCTCTGTTCTTTCACACCATTTCAGGGGAGCAAAGCCCAGCTCCCTGCACCAAAGCCACGTCACCTGCAAGGCAGCAGCCTCACTTTTATTTGTTACAGTAATGCCCTTGCAGCCTGCTGCATGCTTGCTGAAAAGCCAGCTCTGTTGGTTCCCAGAGAGAACACCGCAAGGGAGCTCTCTGGGATCCTGCAGCTCCACTGTTCACTCCTCCACTCCCTGTGATTACTGACACCAGCTCTTTTTAAGTTTCCTGCACAGGAGGGCTTTTGTTGCTTCCATTGGGATACTTTGGTACTAGATTTTATACTCTGGGTCCTTCAAGTTTCATCTCAAACATTCCCTTTCTACTTTTATCTGATTACTCAATTAAAACCTTTACAGCCTTTTAAAATGTAACTATTACTCCTTTTAGCTGCACCTTTATAGAGAAACCAAAACACTCCTTAATATGAGCTTGGTCTGTTGCAACTTCGGTAACAGTATTAACTGCACAAGTGAGTGCCTTAAGAATTAGAAGTCACTAACTTTTACCTCAGCATGTTAAAAGCATAAAAGACAGCCCCTCAGTAAAACAGTGCATGCTGACGTAAGTACTGATAGCATTTCTGATAGAAACACCAGAGATGTGCAGGGCAGCTCATACGTACTTCAGTTTCCTGTCTCGGAAGGCAGGAGTCCCAGGCACTATGGTTTTGATGAAGAAAGGCTGATTTCCTTTGCTCTCCTCAAAGCCTCCAACGATGCTGAAGCCCCAGCTTTCCAGGTTACCTTTACTCAGGACAATATCTTGACAGCAGTGAAGGTAGCTATGGAGACAGGCATTGGCATTAAAAAAACTTACGAGCGTGTTTCAAGGAAAGCTGCCCGACCAGAAATTTGTATTTTCCTGTGTGGAAAGCACAGCTCTGTAACAGCCTCATATTTATTTTCTTTTTTTAAAGGATTTGAGGCAACCCCTTTGCAGGGCATGTTACAGGGATAATTCTCAAATCTGAAGATGCCAGTGCTTTAGAAGTATTTTCTACTTCAAGAGTTAACAGAAAATTACCGTTCTCTAAAGGGATTTGTGACCTGAAAGATTCATGAAGTTATTCATGAATTCTGTCAATGAACATGCACAGTACTAGTGACTAAAGCAAATTAATTGTGAACAGCAGTTACACCCACGCAATTAATGAGAATCGAGGGGTCTTTATTCCATCTGTATCCTTCATGCCTGGCACAATGAAGGCATTCTGTAGTTAAGTATCGCTGCTGGAAAGCAAACATATGAGGTATGGCAGCCTTTCTTCTACTAACTACCACATCAGAATATGAAAGGTCATTCCTGCAGGACCTACACCCAGGCTTGCTGTGTACAGTAAGGTATCAGACTCCTCAGATCACAGGCTTTTGAATGCCAGCCACTGAGGTTTGCCTTCCTGGTAAGCCTGGGGCACGCTGCCCTGGAGAGTGTGGTATGCGAGTGCTAACAGCACTTACTCACTGAGTTTGTAGCGCAAAGACGTACAGAGCGCCCTTGTGAGGCGTCAGAAAAGGTGTGGCAGGAGCGCAGGCTGCTCTGGCTCACGGTCAGGGTACGTCCTGGCACCCAGCGCTGTGCTGTGTGCTCACTGCCCCACGGAGGGATTCCAGCAGCTAAATTTTTTCCTAATAAACGACTTTGCCTCAAGGGCTTTGCTTGAGCAGTTTGCAGATGAGTTTCAGATTTCAAAAGCCTTCTCAGTTAACTTCTCACTCGGAGAGAGATCCAATTATCTACTTTGAAACTGTAATTTACTTTTGTAAGAGCATAAATGCTGGCAGACCCAGCTCTAGCTTACTGATTCCTCCATGCTTGTCTTCTACTGGTACTACGCAAGTGTAAAAACACAGCTATGAGAAGTGTATGAGCCAGCTAGTGCAAATAAATAGCCCAGAGAGCAAGAGTGGCAAGATCTAATAATAGAACATAAATTAAAATACTAGACACATTGTCCAAGAGTTGGAAAAGGCTGTTTGCTAGCAATCAGTTTTCCATATGAAAAAAGGGTTTTTAGGAAGAGAAACATTAATTTACTAGAGTGGAAAATGACTATGGGAAAAGAATATTAGGCTTTACAGAAAGTAAAGGTGCAAGTTTAATTCTGACAAAAACTCTGCTGAGGCTGCAGTTCTGCATCCCTTTCAGAGTCTGTGGAGTGCATGGCACCAGTGGGGCCCTGGCAGGGAACACCCAACAGTTTAAACTTCATGGAGATTGGCTTCAGTAAACCCCAAGGAAGAAGGCAGAGGGAAACTGCTTTTGCACACCCAGAATCTTATCTGTAAGCCAGACTCTGCACGGTTACCGTTTTCAAGAGTCAAAGCTTTTACAGAGAAAAATATAAATCAATCTGTAAACGTGGTATTTCTGGTACCTTTAGGATTCAGTGTGCAATGCATTAAGACATATCCTCACTTCAAACCAGTATTTAGAGATGGTATTTTAGCAGCTGGAATTGGTTTAACATAATACTATGAATTAATCAAGTAAGGTTCCTACGCTGTCTTCTGCGACGTGCACAGTGATGAGGACAAACGTTCAGCAGCAGTAAGCAGTAGTGTACAATTAACTTGGAACACTCACCGCCACCATTAATAACAAACGGAGCAAGTGTAAGTTTGCAAGGACAGCAGAGCTACCCACAGCTGCATTACAAGACAAATCCAAGAAAGATCCCAGCCACCAGGTTCACTACAGCCAACACTGGCTGCCTGAGGTTAGATGGAAAAATATGACTACACATCTTACGGGGATGTTTGTGTCTTCATTGAAAGTGTGCAGCACAGCCATAGTCAGAAGTGGAAGATGCTCCAAGCTTATGCACCAAATGCTGTGGTATAAAAGCAGTCTTAGGAGCACAGAGGGCTTTTCTTCTAGGAAGAATAGGAGCAAGATGTTCGTGTTACTCCTCTGCTACCCAGGGTCCCAAGAAAGGCACAGGACCAGGGCCATCATCTCTCCTAAAACCCTTCTGCAACAATAGCCAGGCACATAACTTGAATTCTGCAAGATGGGCTATAGGGACTCCATATTTCAGAAACAGCACATCACCACGTGAGCCGAGATGACAGCCAGTATGTGCCATGAATAGAAAGCCACAGATAAAAGAATCAAGGCCAGAATTAAACACGGTGGGCTCAAGTGTTGCAATGACTGAATACACTCCCTTAGCCTTGAGCACTAACTTCAACTGCAGTCTTTCAGCACAAAGTTCTGCTTCAGACTAGAAAGAAACGTCAAATACAAATACCCTGCTTGCTTAGCTGAAAAAGTCAGATTCCTAATGGCTTCAGGGAAATCATTCATTCTATGGATGACCAGCTACTTGCTGCCAGGTCTTGCTGTGAGCAGCTGGGAAAATGAGTGAGGAAGCACAAGAATTACAGCCATTTTTATTACTGGAAATAAAAAAGGAAGATTGTCAGATCCTGAAATGAAATAACTTTGTGCCTCCTAACCACCCTCACACCCACAGAAGAGTGGCAGACGAATTCAGATGCCTGAATTCACGTTGGAGTAAGAAAGGAAGACTGCAGAGCAGAAAGGTCATCTGAAATCACTGCTTGTTCCTTCAGTAGCACAGTGCAGTAACAGCTAAATGAAGCCAACACAAATACCAGCACCAAAAGAACGTCAAGCAATGTATTAAATGGCAGGTAACATCAGTGTACTCTTGAAATGAAGGCAGGTGACCGATCAGCAGAGAGTGGACTCCAGTCCCTGTAGCAGAAAGTGTGGTGAAGCTGCAAGCCACCAGACATCCAGATAAATTGAAAGAGGAGGAAGAAATACAGCCAGCTTTTGCTTTGCTATACTTGACTGCTGGAGCACCCACAAGGAACAAATATGAGCCAGCATCTGAGGGTTCATACGCGAGTTTGGGCTGTCCAGGTACGGCTCAGGCCAGTTCATACTGGGCCTGCACAGATCAGACGGGCCAATGCCCTGGGAGAGCAAAAGGAACAGGCAGGACGGGGCTGGGTACAAGCCAAGTTGCAGTCGCTCAAGACACAAAAGCTACCTTCCTCGGGCTGTTTTGTTTAGCATTTACAGGCTGCTAAGTAACACAGGGGTAATATAACTGAGGCTTTGTTAGTATTTTTTCTTTCAGGTGCCTGGAGAAACAAGGCTGTAAATAATCTCAGCTTCCCACAGAAAGGGTTTGTCTTTACTGTTGTGCGCATCTCCTCCTGCATGATCCTCCTGCAGTCAGCTGGGACGACAACAGACTCTGCCTTTCAGAGCTGAACGAACGTATGCTGAAACTGCAAGTGTAAGCAAACCAGAGGTTCACCTCTCCAGGAAGGAGATAGAAATCCAAGCTTTCAAAGCCTCAACCCTGTCATCTGGAACTTACCACGCTGCTACTAAAATCTGTGCTAAGTCTACCATCCAAAGCTTTGCAGCAGGAAAACTCAACTATTCAGGATCATTTCTGCCTCATGCTAAAGATGACACAATTCCAACAGCCAAAAAGAATCAGACTGAAGGAATGCCTGCCCCTGAGATGATCAGATTAGAAACTATAAAATAGCACAGGTATCAGTTGGCTTCTGTTATACAATCCAAACAGAGCCACAGAGTGATTTGAGTTAATGATATTTTAGCAGGGACTAATTTAATACTTTCAAGTCAACCAACAAAGCAATTAATTTCCAGTGTTTGAGTGAAAGTCAACTCTGATTGAACAGATACAGTCACTGAAGAAACGTACCTAGGCAATCCGAGCCATGTGATCCAGAGGGGAGACCAGCCAAATCCTTGCTCCTTGATTTCCTGAGATGGCTCTGTTGAGTTTAATGGAATGATTTCCAAGGCTTTCAGTACGACTGAGTGGGAAGCCGCATTAGATTTCAGTGCTGAGACAGCTTCGTAGTAGTTCAGATGAGTCAAATCAATGCCATTTATGCTCAAAAGCACATCTCCTATTGATGAAATGATAGCATTATTACACACCTTTTGCTACAAAGCCCATTTCTGCCTCAAGGTCTCATCATGTGGAACCTTGTTTCCAGGCTCACTTTAGTGTCCAAGTGCAGCTTTCACTGAAAACCCAATTCCTAAAGGATAAAGGATTCAAAAGCCTTCTTACCTCGCTTGATTCTGCCATCCCTGAAGAGGCATCCGATGGGCTGCACGCTTGTTACATATATAGGGAGCTTGTTTTTGTTATCCCTTCCACCTCCAATCGTTATTCCTAAAGATTCCTTTGGTTCCTTTTTTATTGCAACTGTCTTTTCATGACACATGTATCCCTGAGGTAAATCCTACAAAGGAGTGACAGTACAACATGCAGCTTCATTAATGCAGTTAACATGAGAAGCCCAGATATGGACAAAAAACAACAGAACATCTTGTATCTTTAATCCACATTTCAGCAATGTTGCTGGATGGCAAAGTCAGCTTCTCATGGACTTGCTCTGGGGAGAAAAACCACCCTGTATTTCCAAAGTGATCCCATCATGGCTGAGGTACTGCTCTCGTAATGATGCCACGTTCATTTGCTGTAGAGAGATGCTCACTCTAAGAAGAACAATTTTGCACTCAGGAACAAGCTACGAACTCCTTTCAAGGCCACTCATATCAACCTCTCTGAATACCACTAAACGTTTAGGTTGCAGTGAAAGCACACACGATAGCATATGCTGTAGAAACAATACGTAAATGCTACTTCTGTACCATAAAGCCCTCCAGCTCCAAACCAAACAACTCGGTGTCCTTGTGCAATCCCCTGAACGTGCTGTGCTTGATGGATGTAGAGAAGCGAGTCGCAAGCGTCTCATGGATGGTAAATTTCCTATTGCCCTTGCCAGACAATAAAGGATTAAACACTGGTTCTGCATCAACATTAGAGACATTTGAAGACATTTTGACACATTTTTCCCTAAAAATTGTGTTTCCTAGTAGATGGCAAATGTACAGGTCTCCAGTACCAAAAGCCACAAACCTGCTGCTTTTCAATAGCTCAAGAAGAAATGGAGCTACTGATCAGTCTTGCACTAAAAATCGCCATCACAGAGCCAACATAATAGATCTGCCAGACTAAGAATAACCAGTGCTTTTGTTATTTGCAAAACTCACCTTCTGGTAGTAAGATTTTCGTCTGTAGTGGTTCTGGTCTAGTCGTCTTCGATGGTGCACAGGGCTTCCTCCATTGCTGCTACTGCTGCTGCTGCTGCTGCTGCTGCTGTTATTAGATGTGCTCCCATCTTCTACCGGGTCCGAGAGCTGCATTCCTGGCTGCCTCAAGACAACAAAGTTCACTCTTGATTCAGTGGTCTGTCAAGAGAAGAAGAATGTAAATAAAATAGAAATTATGAATGGCCTGTGTTGTTTTCTTGGAGAGAGAAGGGTTGGCATCAGTTTCTACAAAGGGTTTTGAGACAGGGCTGTGCACCGTGATGCAGTGTTTTTTGTGAAGAGTCACAGAATCCCATGGTGAAAAGAAAAAAGGAATTAGCAAATGTTAGTCAGAAGGAACAGGAATAGAAGCAGGCTTCACTCATGCCTCCCTCCCCCACAAATGCCAAACGAGAGAAAATGGAAAGGGATGATTAATTCCTCCACTTCAGTCCAAATAACCAAAATAGCATCTTGTATTGTGATACAAAATGAACAGAACTACAACGCTGCCTGGTCCAGCATGGATGACCACGATATGAGTACTGGATGCTTTTTCTTTTATTGTACAGAAACTTGTTAAACTCTTCCCCTCCCAGCTTATGTACCATGTCTATTGTTCAACATCTCCCACCCATTTTTTTGTCCCCAGAGTACCTGACCTTTTGTCTACGACTGCTGCCAATTGAACACTTAACCAGCTGTATGGCTGGCCTTGGCAGAGCTACAGGGAAAGTATTCACTATTGTTACTGCTCTTCTAATTTGGTTTGTGCTTTCAGATAATTTGACAAAACCTTATTGTGAAGAACTCCACTGGGGTAAGGTGTATGTGCTTATGTAGGGCATTTCCTGCAATGGATGAGAAGCACGGTGCATCAACTTTTGTAGTTGTTTCTTTTCTTTTTAAATTAGCATGAGTGTTTTATCTTCTGAAACAAAATTTAGAAGCTTCTTGCATCCCAAGTCACTTCAGACAGAGCAATTTTTTTCCAGACAAGTTGGCACACATCAATATCTTCATAAAAGATATTGCATTGTGGGATGCAAACAAAATTCTAAGAAGCCATAGAATGGAATCACATTTCTAGCATTAAAAAAGGAAACTGAAACTCTGCTCTCTCTCTTTCCTTTCTCCCATGCCACTGCACTCAGCTGCTCATTACCAGGAAGAGAACTGGCACTCCCTCACCGCTGCCCTCAGATTCTTTCCGGGATATAAACAGTATGTGATGAGATGTATTGTGTCAGGATCTTTAGATAAAAACAGAATCTGGAGGTCATTGCCTAGGGAGATAAAGAATTTAAACTGATCTACATAGTATCTGCTGAACACATAGCAATCCTTAACCAAATTTCCTTGCCTGCTCCTTTCACCAAAACCTTTGGCATGCTGCAACAGGACTGCATTCCTCTTGTGTGGGGAAAGACCACCGCTCCTCTACCCATGTAGTATTTCAGAGTGCTTTTAGCCTGAGGTCCCTCGTGTTGTTTTCTAGACTACTCTTCCCAAACACAGGTAAAATGGGGAGAGAGGGCTTCAAATCAGTCAAAAGGGTTCTGTTCTGTGCTGCCAGCCTATCACATCTCCCAACAAATACCTTCAGTTTGACTGTCTGAAGCACAAGATGCTGTCCTAATCTCTCCTTGTCTGTTCTGCAAGCATCTAAACACTGCAAACGAATATTCACTCTGCAAGAAAGGCTCCAAACACCACACCACAAGGAGATCCAGTTGCCTTAGCTGAACCTAAGTGCCATGAGCAACTGCCTGGCTTTGGACTTGTCAGAGATGACTCACGATAGATGCCCACTCTGTGTATTTATCTTCATTTGGAAGCAGTGCTTTCCACGCATCCGCAGGGAAGTTACTTTCCCACTGAGATATTTCAGGGAATACAGTTTGCTCCAGTGTGTTCTGTTAGCACTTGGGTCAGAACAGGAGCGCTGCCATCAACGCGGACAGCTGCAGAGTCATCAGCCACACCACCTCACCATGTCATAAATTACCTGGATTATCTGTGCAGCAGCCTCAGGTGTTCCTTGCCTCAAATCCTGGCCATTTATTGACAGGACTCTGTCATTCCGACTCAGCTTTCCATTTTTGGCTGCTAAACCTCCCTCTAACAGATCTAGAATAAAAATCCCTGCCTCATCCGTCTTCCTGATCAGTTTGATTCCCAAGGGTTCGGATCGGTCTCTCTTTATCAAGGTAACGTGGATCACTTCCCGATTTGTGGCAGAAGTGGAATCCTGCTGTGCAGTCTTGTTGGAAAATCCCTTCTCCTGCAGGACCATGAGGTGGAGAACAGGACCTGGGTGGCGCAGGAAGGAGACAGCTTGGCAGTGAGTCACGCTGCTGATGTTGACGCCATTCACCTCAAAAGATAAACAAACCAGAGTCATTAATCAGAACCTACATCGTTTAGGCACTGTCCGCAGCGCGGAACATGACAAAGTTGTAGACAGGATGTACGACTCCCAGTGCAATGCCATGACTGAAGCAGCTGCTTCTGTTGCACATTAGAGAGCAGAGTTTTCTAAAAAAGAATGCAGAAGTAAGCAGATGAAATTAGACCATAATTGAAGGTGAATAGCTGTGGACAGGGACAAGACAGCACAACCCACGTAACTAACAAATCTGAAACTGCAAAATATTAAATGATTACATTCATTCCATGGCAGTGCAGAACTGCCTACCCTTAACTTCCAGCATTAATAGATACTTGTAGTAGACGACTCAAATTAGAGACTACCCATCCTCACTTTTAAACTGAGAAGTGGTCTATAGTCTACAAGCTTCTGGAATCATCAGTCTACTCATGCCTTTACCAAGGCAACTCTGAGAAGAAACTTTTTGCTTTGTCTGCTGTCACCTAAGACTCTGCGCAGTCTTCTTTTAGGATGTTAATAGGGCTTCTAAGTGTGGGGACCTTCCCTATTTACAACTCAGTCAAGATTGAGACATGTACAATTCAACTGAATAAAGTAAAAGTTACTCTGTTGGTCTATCTATGAAGCCACCTCAGAGATCACATTTGCCACTTGTGCATGTAAGGCTGCCAGTCTGTACTGAAGTCCCCAGTCCAACAGGATAATTAGGTTTTTTTAGCTTGTCAAATGATTGGGCAGCCATAGCTGGGAGGTGCTAACAGTTCTCGCTATGTGTAGGCTTTGCTGCTGCATACGAACTTCTGTCACCTCGATTAGCACACTGCCATGCAGCATGATTAATGTGGAAACTAAATCTGGCCGTGGGTCCGCACGGTATGAGGTTGGTGCTCTTTATTACTCACATTGCATATCTGATGCTTACTTCAAGTCGTAAGATCTTAAACTTGGGACCTGCCCATTGAGAATATGCAGCTTAAGCAACATAGGACAGCAAGGAAGTATAAGACTTCCTAACTAGAGCACAGTCCTGTGGAGAGAAAAAACGGTGCTACTGGGTGAAATTTATCAGGTAGACATCTTTTTAATTTATCCAAAATGGTCTAAATTTCTAAAAGCTATCAAATATGCAAGGTAAATATGAGTGTGACTGGAAGAAACCTGAAGAGTCTGCTTCTCAGCCCCAGCAGCTGCACAATGGCCCTGACACACAAGTCTGATCAGTGCCTTTAAACCTTCAGCTGTAGAGATTTCCCAGTTTATCTAGGCAACTCTTCTCCCCCAGCCTTCAAGTCAAGAGAAGCAATGGGACCAGTAGGGTTTTACATACCTCAAGAATATGGTCCCCAGGTGCTATTCTTCCATCTGTAGCAATGACAGAATCCCGCAAGACTTCCTGAACAACAATGTTTCCTAGAGGGGTATCTTTGCCCCCAACTATCCTCATCCCCAGCTCCTCCTCCGGGTCTTCTCGGTGAATTTCAATGGTGGTTGTTTCAGCCACAAGACTGGTTCTCTGAGGAAGGTCTGATTGTGGAAATCGAAGAGAAAAAAAAATCCAACACATTAATAAAGTTCTCCTTCACATGGTACCACAAGATTTGTCACACTGGCAGGCTGTGTCCAAAGTAGTGTCTGGAGGGAAAGCATCTCTCAGGACAGGGTCAGATTAAAAACTTAAAAAGCCTCTGTTTCTTTACAGTTTCTTCAGAAAACTTCCCATCTTCTCCTAGCTTTTGGCAAATTTAAACTCATTACCATTCCTTGACTATTATTAAAGGACATTCAGTATGTTTCACTTAGCATTGATTATTTTTCTGCTGTGACAGCTGGCCTACTAGAAGCGCACACACAACAAAGTCCAATTTCCACGATGCCCATTAGAAAAGGGGACGACTGAGCTCTAATTACTGGTCTGCCGATGCAGTGACTTTACCACAGGCAGCTACTTCCCTCCTCCAATTTCCTTTCCTCCTCTTTTCCCATCCCCCCTGTAAAACAGGAGTAATGTTTACCTATTTACAGCATCCTGAAGACTAAGCAATGCTTCTCAAGCCACTTTGAAGATGAAAGTTGTTATTAAACCTACCAGCACTGCAACATTCAGGCAGGCCCTACACTCTAATGAAGCCCAGCGCACTGCCTGGCAGGGTGAACTGCAGTTGTCACACAGAACGTGCAAAACCTGCCCAAGTGTATTTTGGGAAAAAGTCAACAGAGAAGTAAACTGACCTGGGTATTAACTCCAGTACAGCAGTAGCCAGCTCCAGCACCCGCACACTTGGAAACTGATACTAACTTTGAAACAAGGCACAGAGCTTTTTACGCTGCTGCCTTCTAAGACCAGTGGTTTTATGCTGAAGTAGAGATGGTTACTTTTAACTACAAGGGTTTTATGACTGACTATTAATTCAAAAATTAAGTTTATACTATAAAAACAGGCTTGCTGGACACCATTACAGAGGTACCGACCACTCTGGGAAACTGACTGTATGCTTAACTTTCTCCACAAGATTAAGAAGCTTGAACACTTCCTAATTACCAATTATTTGGCTACTGGAAGCGCTTTAAGTGCTCCATGTTCACATTCACAGGGACTGCCTTTGTTTCTGCAAAGAATACTGTAAATATTCACTGCCATCTAACAGAGATTCTTTGAATTGTTTTGCACAGTTTTGTACCTGTGAGCAGATCCTGCCACACCTGATGTACACGAATACATCTCTCTTTTGTTCAAGGACAAGCTGAGGAAAGAGATTACTCCGATGGCTACTAGTGACTGAACAGCATTGAAGACATCTAAGAATGTTGGGGACACTTTAAAAATAGAATTGTCTGAGATAATCACCTCATTTTTATATTATAAAAGGTAATTAGATAATTACATTTCTGTATCAAACTCTCACCTTCTTCAGTCTCCTCAAAAGCTGGATTAACCAGGCCAGGCTCCGCAGTCCCGAGCGATACCACAGCAGCTGCAGAGCTTTCTGCCACAAGTGCCGATCCTCCACTTGGTACCTCCAGATCCCTGGGCATGTTTGTCTCCACCTTGGTAGGAGTATCTTCCTTCCCTTTGGAAATAGGATTCCTTTTCTGCTGTAGTTCAGATTTGTATTTCTTGAAACCAGGACACCTAGGGAGAGATTGTCAGTGTCTGTAAGTGGCTGTTCTCTGCCTGTGTGGCTCACACACCACATGCAACCTCTGACAAAGGTATGTGAAGCAGCATGTTCAAGATCTCATCAGCTGCGAAGCTTGTATCACAGATGCTAAAACTTATTCTCATTTGACCTTCAGCTTCTACTTGCACTAGCATTAGCTAAAAAGCAGGCTTGTTATTTTATTACTTTCAAAATTATTACATAAATTCTTCAAAAAAGGAGTATGTACTAGGACCGGGAGTCTCCCTTGCTAAATATTTACCTGGCAAACACTAGGTGAAGAAAACCATACCTCTTACAATACAAGCAAATACTTAGCTCTAGCCTTTTACAGATGACTGTGAACTGTAACTTTATGCAAAGGAAGTGGCTCAAGTTTCAAGCTCAGTGTTGAATTGTTGAATTACAAACCAGTAATGTGCAAGAGCAGCAAGTGAGGCTTGCTTATTCTTTTTCTGCTGAATGAGACCTGGTCTTAGACAGCTCTCCACCTCCAGCCCATGCAGGTGATGGCCCTGCTTGAATGGGAGCAATTTAGAGGAGTTTACAATCCCACTGACTGCTCCTCACACAGAGGTTCAAGAAGTAATTCTACATTCAACAAAATGCGCTGTGTGCGGCCACACCACAGCCAGCCTATCTGGGCAAAAATGGGTGAGGAAAAACAAGCTCTTTTATCAAGAGTATTTTAAAAAAAGGTGGCCAGTGAGGAGGGTGATAAATGAAAAAGCATCACTTTCAGAGACATGAGTAGTACTGGGTGTTTACCAGAGTCACTTTTCAAATTAAACTCAACTATTTACATTCTGGCTAAACGAGTCTCATCCCAGTATTACTTCCTCTGGTTTACTCCTAGTCATTTATTCTCCAAGCAGTAAGATGAACCTGAAACTTAAAGACAGAAGCAGATTGATCCACTTGTGCACATTTCCCTCTTAAGATGTCGAGAAACAACTTCATTTTGCAAAGGGCAGAGGAATCCCTCATGAAAAAAAGAGAGTTGCTAGATGCTTCTTATTTCCTTAAGTCTCCTGCTATCAGTTAATCTCATTTAAAACTACACAGGAACACCCAAATCCCAGTGTAATTTTTTAATTATATTTCATTTTTGCAGTCTAACTATGCTCACAGCCCAGGTGAAATAGCCTCAATTTTTAGAGCACACCCTGGCCAAAGAAGATACCAAGAACTACGAACTGTATAAGAGGATGATACAATTTCCAGACAGGTCTCTAATGTAAGCATTTAAAGGTACCTCCCTCTTCTCTGTTTAACTCCTGTGCCAAAGGGATTAACAAGTGACAGGAGTTTACTGATACTGGAGTAGATTTATAGAGCAGAGAGGAAGGCCCAGCCCTCGTACAGGCCATAGCCCCAGCTCCACAAGGGCAGCATGGCAGAGCCTGTGGTAGGGCTTGTACTTAGCTCCCTCTCCTGCAATCATTAACTAGGAACAAGTGTTCTTCAAGCCCATGGCAAGAGCTCTTTGTCACCTGCAATTCTTTTAAAGTGACATCGTTCTGCCTGCCACCAGTTCAACTGACAGCGGAAGCACCAAAACTCATCCCTGCTGACAAGCGCAAGGCAGGGGAAAAGAAAAAAAACATGTATTTTTAAGTTGCTTCTCTTTCTCAGCAAAAGAATGAGAGAAGATAATGGAATTATACGTGATTCAGCAACTGCATAATGTGCAGCTTGGAGGGACTTCCATTATTTGGATCAAAAGACTTATGTATTACACATCTTAATTGGACCAATTAAACTGGCAACACTGCACGATCCCTTGCTTCCAGAGTGTTGACTTTGTGCCTGTTTTTCTTCTCTGCGCAAGTGAAACAAGAGGAAGCATGTTTATAATAATTTTCAGGGTCAGGTGCCCCATATCAGCAGACACAAATATATAGACACGATAGGTTTTGTGTCTGTGGACAGCTTGCAGGCGAGCAGCTCGCCCTTTGCCTCTGCAGCACAGGTGAGCAGCCATCCTAACACACGCAATTACACTGTCCTCACACACCCACCTCTCCAGCCTCGCCCTCTGCCATCTCTGCTGTCCCATCTTGCCCCGGTTTAAGAACTGCTCTGAGAGTGGATCTTTCTGGTCAGAAGCACATCAGATAGATGACATTATACAAGGAGCAATAATATCATGTAAATGGGAATGCACCTGTTCTGCAGATGAGCTTCCAGTTCACAGCGCTGCATTGTCTGCTGACACTCTGCCTTGAAAGGACAGAAGACAATCAGCTTGTCCAAGAGGTTTCGTACCAGAAGGCTGGACTTGTGGCACTGCTGGAAAGAGAGCTTTTTCCGATCCATAGGACAAAAGTTGTACTCCTGCATGAAGTTTTCAAGGCACTTGAAACAGTACGTGTGTCCACAGGGGGTGTCCATAGGTTGGAGCAGAGGCTGAAGGCAGATGTGACAGATGAGTTCGTCGTCCACTTCATCCTGGAAGTTGTAGAGATGATTGTCCAGCAAGAGGTGGAACTGACCGCACTCGCAGCAGAGTTCGCTCACTTGGGATGCGTGGTCTTCTGCTGTGGGATCAGCCATGAGAGCCAGCAGCAGGGAACCTTGGCACGGAGCAGCTGTCTGAAGGAGAACCTCTGAAGAAAGGGAGAGAAAAAGAGATTTCCAGTCAACTGTCCGGTCTAGATCAAGCCAATCAAAAATTAATTATTGTATTCTTGCCTTACGTCCCTGCTGGTATCTTCACCCCCGCCTACCTCCCTTAGGGTTCTTCTGTGAATGATCAACCCAGGGATCAGAGAACGCAAGGACCTCATGCAGCAAAATGTTTAAGCACGTGGATAAACTGAAGCTTAAATTACTTTATGTGCATCAGTGACACAGATGAGAGAAAACCCTGCCCAACACATAAACGAGAGAAGTGGAGACACAAGCTGTGTGCTCTTGAGGGAGAACAACCTAGAGAGGGGAGAAAAAGGAGAGCCAAGATAGTGGTATTTAAACTGACACTTTTTCTCTCTGGCTTTCCAGATTATACCGAGTATTTTACAGATATGTATGGTGAAACATCAGTTTGGGGACTTCTGGTTATTTGAATTTTTGCTTAGAGGGGAATAAGGAAAAAGAAGAGGAAGAAATTTCAAAAGAAACTTCAATCTAAACCACCTTTCCTTCCTTTTAAGCCCACTCCCTTCAAAATGTTCATCTTAACAAACAATGCATTGTTCCTCACTCATCCACTATTAAGTTCAGCCATGGAAACAAATTTCCTATAAAAAGACTAAGGCTTCCTAAGTGGAAAAAACACAAAGAATTGTCCACATCCCAGTTTGCTGTAACGTTACAGCACGGCTTGAGCTTCAGCTTCTTACAGTTAAGGAGCATAAGACTGGGGCAGAGCTGCTGCTCTACTGACTTTAATAGAGACCCCTCCAGTCACATCCATTTTTAATCATGCCTATTGTAATTAAATGTAAAATCCACCTGTGTTTGCTAGCAGATTACTCTACAGGCACACAGACTACTGCAGGAAGGTTTTTTATTTTAATAAATAAATTTTAATGGCAGTTATTTTAATGAAGTAGAAAATGTGGTACTAGATGAAGCCAGCACTCTGTATCACACAGCTGGGGGTTTTGTTGTTGTGGTGGTGTTAAGGTTTTTTGGGGAGTTTTGGGTTGGTTTTTCTTAAGTATGTAAAAAATACAGGAGTCTTTGAAAACAAAAGAATTGCAGAACTGTGATGAAATGGAAAATTTCTGAAATACGACATGGAAAATATCTGAAAACAACTGCTTTATCTGGAACAGGTAAAAGCCAAAGCAAGAGTGAACACTGGTCTGCACCAGTGCCTGGAGGATATGGCTGGCACGCAGCAGCCACTTTGGAGCAGGGTAAGCAAGAACAATAAGATAGCAAGAACGGCAAGAAAAAATTAGTCATGGGTTTCAAATAAAAATCATACATCACTCCAATTAATTGTCAAGCACAAGTCAGTTAGTTAATTAAAGGGATAACATATCGCCAACAGAATCAAGCCATTTTATGGGCGAATTTTTACCCAGCCATAGAAACTTGTTCACTTCAAAAGATTAAAACATTACTGTCACGGTTCCAGGTGGGTACAGGGCATGAGTTGTTTGCTTCTCCTGCTGCTGCTGCAGTGCCAGAAAGCATCTTCCCCTTGAGAAAAGCACTTGTGTGGATGTACAGACTCAGCTCTTCTGGTTGCATTTACTCCTTAACTCTTGATGTATTCATGCCCTACTCTCTTAGAAATACCCATTTTCTTTGGTACTTACATCCATCCGAAACAGGCATCCCTACTGTTTGCCTCACAAAAAGTCTTCATTTGATCTTAAATAATCTTCCAAGCAAAAAGGAAACATTTGGACATTTGACAATCGCATAACGTCACCAATTCTAATCAATCAGCTCAGCACCCACAGTTAACATAACACCAAGCTTCCAAGGCAAACATCTACCAATAAGAAATACTTGTGCTTCGGGTTGTAGTATTTGCATAAAACTTTGGCAGGTGATTAAACAAATCTACTTTCTCACTGAAAACAAACCCCACAGTAATTTTGCTGATAAACTCCTTATATATATATATATTTTTTTTTTTCCAGATTATTTACCAAATTCGTTCTCTGAAAATAAAGGTTATACAAGATGAATCCCATTTATGAGTCATTTCAAAACTCATGGAGTATTACCACAACTTTTTTCTACCTGTAACTCTAAGCTGTTCGGGCCTCTCACTCCCAGATCCTCAAAAACGAAGAGTGAAGATTTCCAAAAGTGCCAAGGTAAATTGTATTTTTACACTACTGTCCTTTCGAGGAGAGCTCCTGCAGACACCAGGGAACCCAAGGCTGACACCTCAGTGATGAAAGGCAGCCCACACCCTTCGGCAAGGCAGGAGCAGCACGGGGAGGCCAGCAGGCTCAAACAAGCCTGCCACTGCTCCGTGATTCAGTCAGAGAGCAGATGTTCTACAAGAGGAAAATTGCTAACATCTTATTCAGCAAAGATGACTACTTCAGCACAACAAGACAGATCTGTAGTGTCGAGAAAATGCACTGTTTCAACACAACAGGCACAGTTCCCCTCAGCTTAGTCTGTCTGGAGTCCCTGGGATCATAGCCCTGGAGGTGAAGTTTGATATTTACCCAATCTTCTGCAGTTTCCATCAAATTTCAGTTTCTAACCTCTACAGGTCCAACAACCTGCTTCGTGCCAAGTGGCTACTTATTGACTGCATGAAAGTGTTAAAGCCTGACATTTACTTACGCTGCTTCTCTAATGGACTTTGCTGTTCTGAAAGTATAACACAAGGACTGCCTCTGGAGTCTGAATTATTTAGAAAGGAGTACACCCCATTTCTACACATGACAAAGAATTGAAGGAAATAAACCAGCAGAAATCTCTCTATATTGTCCAATTTCTTGCCCTGTGTGGTCTAGAGACGGAGTACACTCCATTCCTACACATGACAAAGAACTGGAGGAAATAAACCAGCAGAAATCTCTCTATAGTGTCCAATTTCTTGCCCTGTGTGGTCTAGAGAAAAGATTTCTTTGGAATCACCTTTATCTTTATTGTTTTGGTTTGGTTTTTTTTTAATCACTGTTGCCCCCCATTTTTTTTAAAGTACCATTTCTTGTACTGTAATAGAGAAAAGATTTCTTTGGGATCACCTTTATCTTTATTGTTTTGGGTTTTTTTTAATCACTCTTGCCCCCCATTTTTTTTTAAAGTACCATTTCTTGTACTGTAAGACTGACTCAAAGAATAGACCTTTTTTGTTGTTTTTTAAATGGAAGACTTATCAGGTTGTCTAATCTATTTCCCTGCCAAAGCAAGACTATTCCTGACAATATTAGCACATTGCCTATTCTTGTTTTAACTCTGCTAGGGCACAGAGCCTCAGATATACACCCCCTCTGCACATCTACAACAGTGTTAATAGCTCTAGTAGGGAATATGCCAAGAACCACACTTACAGTGAACCACTCAGTACCATTCCTGAGGGACCAGCTCTGTTCAAAGCCCCCCTGGACTGATAAATGAATCTGATTCATTACTTCTACAGCTTTTTAAAAAAAAAATCCATTTAAACAAGCATAGTTACCTAAGAAATCTTTATAGCATCATGCCTCCATTTGCACTGCAGTTACTGAAAAGGAATGGTGGCTGTGGTACCTGGCTACAACCCGAGCCACATCTTCCAATCTTAGCATCTGAAGCCTCAGCATTTCCAAACACAACTCTTTCTCCGTGTCTTTAAGACATTTCACTCTGCCACAAGTTAGACTTTTTCATACAGTTCCAGCATTTGATACAGCCACTTTCAGTCATTTACCTTAATATGTTATTATACCTCTTTGAGGTATAACACTGATGCTGTGCCCATTTAAAGACTGAGAAACGGCATCAGGAGAGGCTAAAATACAGACCCACAGAGACATCAACTCATGGGCATTTAACACTTCAGTATGTCTCTGAATAGGATCTCAAGTGACCTACCCACGATCACAGAGGAAAAACAAAGTAAAATCTTTCCTATCAGATTAGGAGGACTAAAGGAATGCCTGCTTTAGTTCAAAAAATAATTTAAAATAACTGTCAAATAACTCAGTATGTAAAAACTACTTGTACTATAGAAAATATTTTGGAAATACAATGGGTTTATGCTTTTATGCACCTGTAGATTAGCGCTTCCATGATGATATAGACTGTGTTATTGAAAACCTCAATATAAATGTTGGCTATGAGATTGCAGGGCACATGCCCTACGTAAACTGCTACGCAATAGTTCGCTGCAATAATTATGCCAGTTATTATATTTACAATGACATTTCCCTGGGAGACTGGAAATGCAACATTCCAACTAAAGGCTAAACAATTAATTCATTTTTTGAGGGTGGACAAAACAAACCAGTGCATTCTGGATTAAGATGACTGAGGGCACACTCCAGCAGGGCACCAACACAAAGCCCATCTGCTTATACAAAAGTAAATTCAAGATGGATTCGAACGCAGCAAACCCAGTGCTTTAGCAATAAACTGTAGCAAAAAGTGGCAGAACTTTTGCTAAACTTTCTTCAAACAGTTTTCACTCAGTTAAGATGTTTTGTTTTTCACAGAACGGCAATTTTTTTTTATTCTAGAGACCGAGAGAAGTACATTGCAAATATACAGTAGTGGTACATAAACCAGTGCTGAAATACCAGAGGATTTTTATAAGCAACGCTTAAAAGTAGGCCAAGTTTTACAAAAACCCACAATACCAAACCCAAGAACAGTTTCAGGTGGTGATACAATGTCCTGTTATCTTTTTTTATTATTTTCTGATACTGCTGAAGATCAGGCCACTTAATGAAAAAGTAGGAAGTCAAAGCTTCTGTAATTGGTAAATTTATAGAGCTAAATAAGAAGCCAGCCTTTCATTAATTAACCTTGCCCTCAAGCCAAAGGGTTTCTAATAAGCCACCTCCACCAGTAACTGTTCAGCCCAGATATGAAGACTTCAACTGAGAAACTGTAAATCAAAGCTGCTTTACTGCACTCGATATAAA